TATGGGCTGGACTACTTGCCCATTGGGAACGGGAGGACACAAAAGCAAGCTCCGGGAAAAACTCGTCTAACCGGAACAGCGACCGGAAGGGGAAGGGACCGGCGACCCATAACCTCGGCGCAACGAGCAAAGCGTCACGTCTTCAGAAGCTGGTAATTTTCGGATAACATTTCCAAAATTTTATTTATAACACCTCTCATATTTCCTTCATTATAGATTAAGGGGTGTTACGGTGGATGACGTAATCGAGCAAGTGATGCCTTGCTCAAATAAAGAACATATTAACCACCAAACATAATTTTAATCGACTACACATATAATATAAAATGTTTGACAAAGCTTAAGAAACAATGATATTATCAATTTAATCGAATGACTTTCTGCCAAATAAAAAATTAACCGTTCAACATTTTGCATTGAAGTCTAACTTTTAGATATCTAATAGATTAGCCGTCTAACTAGTTTATTATCTTTATCAATATTTTTTAATTAGCCATCTATATTATGAGATAAACGGCATCTGAAAAATTTAACGTCCAACGAGTATGGTAAAACATTGTTCATAGTCTAAAAACCTAAATAATTATCAATAAATCATTTGTTATACGTTATCTAAAAAATTAGCTGGATAACAATACATATTTCAAACAAATAAATTTATCCGCTAATTCCATATGTTAGTGGGATAACAATGAGCAGACGGCTATTACATATGTTTGATGGAATAACATTGAGTTTAGACGGCTAATTTCATTACTAAAGATATTACGTAAATACGTATCATTTGAACGATATCATTTTTTTCTCCGGTGATTCGAGAATTATTTTCATTGACTACCACTGGATCCGCCGCTGCTTCCACTTGATCTATCGCTGATTTCTCTGACCGTCACACACCATCAGATCTGTCGCTCCTTCCACCGGATGCGTTCGTGCTTCTGCAAGATTTGTCGCTGTTTCATTGACCGCCACGCGCCACCGGATCCATCACCGCTTCCACTGGATATGTCGCTGCTTCCAATAACCGCCACACACCACCAGATCCGTCGCTTCTTTCACTGAATTTGTCGATGCTTCCTATCGAATCTGTCGTTGCTTTCACTAACCGCCACGTACCAGTGGATCCGTCAGTGCTTCCATTGACCGCAACGCGGCACCAAATCCATCGTTGCTTCGACTAGATCAGTCGCTGCTTCCAATAACCGCTACAGACCACCAGTCGCTGCTTCCGTCACGAGAGAGAGAGTATGATGAGATTTGGATGAGATTTGTTAAC